TGTGGCGCAAAACATGTAGTATTTAGCTAAAAGAGCAAAAAAGCTTCATGATATTGTATCAAATGGCGACGTATGTTTTCCTTTTTAAACATGAAATAAAGAAATCCAAGGGACATTAGTTATTATCAGACAGAAATAAAAAATCAAGCAGTGACAGTTTCAGCTGGCGCATGGAAGTCCAGGCGTTCATCAATCGAACTCCGATTGCTAAACTTTTTCGATATTATTTAAACTTTAGCTCCCAAAATTTTGGACGGACTTAAAATGAAACCATAAAAGAAAAAATTAAGGCTTCCAACCTACCTGAGACGCGGTTTGGAGCTTGTGCGATGTTGTGCGGCCGTGCTTAACATGAATGTCCGTAAAAAAAACCTTCCAATTGCCTAAAAGTACCATTATATTGTTACAAGAAGTTGTTTTAAAAATTCAAATTATAATAACAACACTCCTTGCGCATTTGGTGGTAATGATCGAAACAAAAACTTAGATGACCCAAATCATGACGCTAAAATTTAACGTTTTGGGTCATGACACCATAGGTTTTGTTTATTCTGAGAATAAACGAAACCTGATTCAAATTTTCTGAGTTGAAAAATTGCCAAAATGGATATTAGTACTAATTTCACACAATCTAAGATTTACAAGTTTTAGTCAATTTATTGTAAACGTTCATAGTTGCTCCGTTATGGGCCTCGACAACAACATATTCCAAATGATATCACGCCAGAATAACAATCATTTATTGTGAAATTCTCGTAAAATCGAATTGTTACGGGAAGTTGTTCTAAAAATTCAAATTTTAATAACAACACTCCTTGCGCATTGCGTGGTAATGATCGAAACAAAAACTTAGATGACCCAAATCATGACGCTCATATAACGCCAGGAAAACAATGATTTATTGTGAAATTCTTGTAAAATCGAATTCATTAGATTATCAGCTATATCCATGAGGAATGTAAGCTAACTACAGTGGCCTTGTAACCGCAGATATGTTATGGAGTTACTCGGGAAAAAGGAGAACATTAACGGGTTGATATTAGCCAACAGAAAATAATGGCAAGGGCATTGTGAAAATTATCGGAAAAAAAAAATATATATATATATATACATATACATATACACACATCCAGCTGTAAACATAAGCCAGTAAGTTCGCAATGGTAGAGAGACGATTCACAGTCTTAATCGGTTGTGGGACGTTAATCCTCGTTTTCTTTATTTCATTTCATGCAAATTGTTTAGTTTTGTAACTGTGAATGGCAACTATATTGAACATCAGAAATTAATGAGGGTGGTCGCCGCTCATTCATCGTTGCAGAACTGTCTGATGTGTCATAAGTTCAACCACGAGCTAAATTGGTTTTCCCAAGCTGTTGTCACAGCGGATGTGAAAGGAACAGCGCCGAAAGAACAACTGAAATCGCTTGAACGTAATTTAGATGTGGCGCTCACTCAGTATTGGTTGCGCCGTGGAATTACACAGCAGCATAGCAAATCATGGGTGGTTTCAAAATTAAAGGTTTGGCCAAAACTTATTATAAGGCTCCGTCTACTATAGGATTACTTTTGACTCAAGTAATAATAGTACATTGAATGCGAAGACGGTATTTTGTACTGATGGCTTCTCGCAACATGGGACGAGACTTAAGATTACGTGCAATATTCCAGGATTTACTTTCCGCTCCACGATATCGAAACAGTTTCTAAGATTGGATAAGATTATTCGTAATTATCTTTTATAATTCTGAGATTAGTTACTTCATCTCATTTTAATTCCCCAGTCCTCATAGCTCTCCTTATCGTTGTTATCCATAAGGTTAAGCTCTGAACACAAAGGTAGCTACGCAAACTACTAAGTACCAAACATTGAAAATCTAACTTATTCGAGGAACAGGGTAATTTGGTATTATCTACTGAGTTGATAACGTAAATTGGCCACCGTAAAGAGTTTTGCGACATAGAAAGGAATGACAAGGACGCTGGACAACAGAATCTCCCCAATCATTCTACGCATATGTATCATATGGTAGCAAACGGTGGCCAATTTACGTTTTCAACTAAGTTGATAACACTAAATTACCCTGTAATACTCTCCCACTGACTCAGCGCCACAGTTTCTTAAGAAACTTACCCCCTTTATTCATTTATTGTTTAAGAAAGTAGCAATTGTCATGGCCGCACTTCTTTAGGTTGGTTGGAGTTTTCTAACATTGTCGGAGTTAAATGGGGAGATTGATTTTTAATAAGCTCGCATAAAACCGTCTCAGTCTTGAACTTTTATCCGCA